GTACTCGTCGAAACTTTAATCCCACATCTATATTTGCAAATATTATTACACTCTGGTCGAATATGTTTTTATATTAAAACTGATTGGATATAGAATTCAGTTTAGAGAATTATAATTGTAATTTAAATTCCAACATAAGTAATCCAAGATAATATCGTGTGGTTGGCTAATAACAACATGAGTTTTTAAACTGTGACTACAAAACAAATGTAAATAAGTATTGTTATTCAACTTGTAACTTTATTTTGTATTTATTTATAGAATAATAAATTATTTTCATAAAGTTTCATATAAAAAACTTTTTATTATTATGATTTAAAAATTCTTTCTTTTTAATTTGCGCGATAATAAACCATGTTATTATTGATTTTTAAACTTTACTCAAATTCATCGTAAAAAACAACAAAACTGTTAACTTGTCATTTGAAAAAAACTGCCCATTATTTGAAACAGTGGTTAAGTTGAAATACATAACATAAATAATAACACTTGCAAAAGTTGAACTGTAAATTAATGTGAACTTATAATAATACATCAAAAAATAACAAAATTATCTTGAAATTGAATAAAACTTTAATTTAATAAATAAAAAAATCGTCGGATTTTTTTTTCTTGAAAAAGATAATGAAACATGTTTTAAACAAATTATTAACAATATAACCAATATTAAAATAATAACCGTTTTCATTATTAAAAAATGACAAAAAACAATTGGCGTTACTACTACCACATATTTGGGTTTTTTATTTTTTATTCTAAAAATACGTCTCGACTTTTTTCGTTTATTTGGAACTTCCAATCAATTCCAAAAAGTTTTTTATCTTTTTCCATAATAATTCCCGTTTTTCAGTTTAAGTTTTCTGTGCTATTTACTCGCGTTTTTCGCAAACTTGAAATATAAATCAAAACCCAATAATTTTTGAGTCAAAACAACGTTCCCAAAAGTGTTGTTATAACACACGTGGCGTTATATTTTAATTTTCCTTTATTTTCTTCCATTTTGTATACATAAAATCAAACTTTAATTTTAATTTCAAATTTAATATTTTTTTCAAAAAAAAACAATTAACTTTGTTTATTCCAGATAATAGCCAACAATAAAAATACAAAAGAATTTTATTTTTGCACCAAAAAACAAAAAAAATTGACGAATGACAAGGAAAAGGTATTTATAATGGACGTTTCTCTCGTTGATTTGGGTCGTTCAATTTCAAAATAACTCGAAAAGGATTTTCTCTGAAGAGTTCTTCGCCTCTTATTTTTCTCATATAAAAGTGCTACGATGAACTTAGAAACCAAATGTCTGGCATCCAATTGAACGACGAAGTGACTACTGTCTTCAACGACTTCAAGTTGTCTCACAAGTTCAGATATTGCGTTTTCAAAATGAA